TCACTGGCTTCCATTCTGCTACTAACATATCCTTATAGTATACAGGATGCTTTAATTCCTGAATTTCATTACCTATATTGCAGTGTTTCTTAGTTGCTGTTGTTCCTTTCTAAAATGGTCCATTTATTTTTTGCTGCAGTACCTTCAGGTAGCCATCCAAGGACGTTTTTTTCTTCTTTTTTTAAAAAAATTATTTTTATTTATTTTTAAAATCAAATCGTAATTTTTACTTATTCATACAGGGGTTATAAACACAAAAAGGAAGGACGTGGGGAAAGGGATGACACCAGAGCGTGGGTGTTCAGGGGGAGTAAGATATCTTTCAGAACAGAGTATCAGCTGGGTGAAGGTTCAGGGGACAGGTCATTATGACTCTGCCTATGATTCACTTGTCCTTATCTAAATTGGTACTATCTGTCAAGGCTACCTATTTACAAGGTCTATGACTACTCAGGCTGGTAAATTTCCACAAAAGCTGCCTCTTTACAATAGCTTATAGCTGTTTCAGTGTTTTTCCACAGAGACCCAAGTTCTTGGTGTTAGTATACATGTATGACAGGCCTATTGCTGATTTTAGGCCTATGGCTGATTTTAGGCCTTCAGTGCATAAGCAGGGCTGCCTCTGACATCTTCTCCCTTCTCTAGGTATAGAAGGGCTGTGGTGATTCTAATCTTGCGAAGGTGGGGATAGAGGCCTGACCTCCAGTATTTGAAGGGGACCTTGTAATGGCTCTGGTCCCCCTGTCATTGTCCAGTGAGGCATGAGGGCCATACCCATCCCAATGTCAAGGACATTTCTTGATGGTAAGAAATTACTCTAAATATCTCTTTTGAACCTACGTTAAGTGGTCCAATGGCAAGGCTTGTCATATTACCTGCATATCCCTGAAAGCTGAGGCCCTCTTCCTGGTTTGTATTGAGAAATACCCATGCTCTTAGAGATGATTTGATCACTTTTTTTTGGAAATGAGCATATTTCCAACAATTAATGCACCAGGCATTTTGATATCAGAGATACCTAGCTATAGCTTGACTTAAGATATTAGCATGTTACTCAATTGAACCAATATTGGTCATATCCCTTATCTACTCTTCCATGGGTGCTGCCATGCCTTTAATGGTCTCATAACTTTTTACATATGACATTCACATTTTCAAATGTCAAGGTCTCTATCAAAACCTGCCTTATGTCAGGGTCTAATACAGCCTTGCTACCAGCTGAGATTAATTTTTATTAAAACAAAAACAACAACAGTGAAGGCTTCTCCAGAGCCTTGTACAATCTTAGTAAATAAGGTGGGCACTTGTCATGGGCTCCTCAATCTTGTCCCAAGGTCTTAAAGATGCTAAACAATATTGTTCTATAGTAACATCATCACATTGGATCTGTTCTTATATAGAAAGTACAAACCTTTACCCAGCAACTATCTTTTACTTTATTAATTTCCGTAGGACTATTTTACTGTTCAATATTTGCTGCTTCTTCTGTCCACCAGGTTAACCATTGCAACTGCTGTCTAGCCTCTAATACAGCTGTTACCAATCCCTTCCAGTTTCATGGAATAATTATATTTTGAGTAGCTCAATTATTTGGAATTTGTTTCATATAAATTGAGTACATTCATATGAAATCATGGCTTCTTTAAGATGCATTAGAGCTATCATTTCTATGTGATACCATCCTATCTTGTCATAACCTTGTTCCATACCATTACCAGGAACCAGTTGTATAACTTTTGGGAAAGCTGAGGTGGTCTCATAACCCCAGGATGCCCCTTTTCCCACTCTGGCAGCACAGTTGGATAGAGATTAACCCTTTCTCTCAAAATGGCCTGTCTCATCTTTTTCAGCTTTTCTCTGACCCATCCACCCTTTGGCACAGTGTCTTTTTTCTCTGTTCCTTCAGGAAATTCCCATTCTCTGGCTTAGTCACTGGGTCTGACCCTTTTTGTTTTTTCTTTTTGATGCACCTCGCTCCTTTAGCCTTCCACCTCCACTCACAGTTTTTCCAGTTGCACAGCCAACTCTACAATTCTTTCAGAAACCAGGGAGTAGACTGACCCCTTTTTGCCCCCTCCCCACTTTTTGATTTTTATGCTCCTCCATTTCCAGCCACAATTTTTCCAACTCCTCAGCCAGTTTTTCAAACTTTTTTTTTTGAAACAAGATATATGAAGAAGGAAAACAAAAGCAGAAAATCCTTCTGGGAGTAAATTGGAGACATCTAGCAGTAGCAGCTGCAATAAATGTTTTGCTGGCCTCTTAAAACAAAAATATCTGTATCTCCCCGTTCCTGACATTTCTTTTATGGCATTTGACATCAAATTTCCCTTTTTTGTTGTTCTTAAATTTTGATTCCCAGGCTGAGGCACCACTTGTTGCCTGTCTTCACTACTTTTTGGGTTCTTTTATCCCACTCTTTATCTCTGCTCCACATCATTTCACCCCTACAACTAGATAGTAGAAAAAGAAAGATAGATGGAAACAAGAGAAAGATACAGGTCCTCGAATCTAATTTCTTTCTTGTTTCTTCTTTGAGTGTGACTACTAATAAACTGCAACCCCTGCCCTAACCCATAACCACCAACCACCAACCACCAACCTTGCCTATAGGTGCTCTAGAATTGATATACTCTCTGAAAAGTTCTCAGAATTCCAAACATGACACAACTGATGAAACCATCTGCAACTGGAATAATCACACCATCACCAGAGCATGAGGTTAATCACAGTCAGCTGCTCTGGAAAGTCTGAAGCAAGCACATATTCCCACATATAGGATTAAAATGAAAATATACTATTATGTTTCTGTGCTTTTTAAAGAAACCAAAATTCCAAAATTCTCACTACGAATTTTCTTGCAGAGTGTAGACTAGACATGGGTAAAGAGTGTACGTGGTGGAAAGCTCAGTGTGGAACATTACTGTCTATTAAAGTGAGACGAATATCCTTGGCACGTTGTGGGTGACCTGGCATTGGGTGTTAGCAGTCAAGTAGGATGAGGAGAATGTCTATGCAGAAGGCAGAAATGGTGTGAGTTTCAGAGAATGGCTAGGTAAGGATGCTGTCTGCCTGGTGGGATATCTTTGTGTGACCAGTCAATACTGTCCAGGGTGATGAGGGCTTCTGCTCATCAAGATGACCTTGGTGGAGAGTTAAAATCCCAGGATGGCTGAATGGAGTCTCCCCAGAGTTCAACACTAGGAGTCAGAGCTGAGTCAAGTTGAGTAAAGGAGACTTTCTTCAGCCAGGGTGTCAGAACTTCAGCAAGGTGTCTGGTCTTGTGTTTGAACATCCACCTTAAGGGAGAACGGTATCTTTTTAGGGGACATAGGCTTGATCTGAGGGTTTTTTTTTAATTTTTTTTTTATCTATTTTTTATATGTAAGTACACTATAGCTATCTTCAGACACCCACAAGAGGGCATCAGATCTCATTATGGATGGTTGTGAGCCACCGTGTGGTTGCTGGGATTTGAACTCAGGACCTGAGCAGGCAGTTCGGTGAGCCATCTCACCAGCCCCCCCCTTTTAAGATTTATTTATTTATTTTATATATGTGAGTGTACTATCACTCTCTTCAGACACACCAGAAGAGGGCATCAGATCCCATTACAGATGGTTGTGAGCCACCATGTGGTTTCTGGGATTTGAACTCAGGACCTCTGGAAGAGCAAACAGTCAGTGCTGTTAATCGCTGAGCCATCTCTCCAGCCCCGATCTGAGGTTTTGAGTCTATCTAGAAGGGACAGGTCTCTTAGTGAAGAGTGATCGATGTCGGAAGTGATAGGTAGCATCCACGAGATTATTAGTTGGGAATTTGAGATAGAGATAATGAGCATAAATTTACTCTTACTCATAGATGTAGGCTAGAAATGCTAAAGTTGGAAAAGAAAATGAAACCTGTGGCTTTATATTAAAATGGGGATAATAGTGTGAATCCATGGTTTTCAGTATGTTTGGATATAAAAGCAAGAGAAAACCAATAAACACAAACAGTGTGTTTGTTTCTCATGCATGCACGTGCTGTTTGCTCATGTGTAGGAACATTGGAATAGCTGGAAGAGATTCAAAGAAGGGAACTATTTGGAAGAACTGAAGCTTGAGCATGTGGCTATGAGCTGGAAAATGTCTGTGGGACTCAAATCACCCCATCCTCTCGAACTAATGTAAGTGTCCCCTCGTACTCTGTGATCCATTTAATTCTCCCAACTATTCTCAACAGAGCATTGCTCACTTAGAGTTTGTGCTGAGGAGTGCAGGGATTCAGGGAAGAGAGGCACAAGGGAGGACAGTGTCCTCCCACAGCTACTAACCAGAGCTGTTTCAGGAGCTCTGGATGTGGCCAGTAGTAAAGTGAGTGGGGAGTCCCCACGCAGCTAGTCATGAACCTGTGGCAGGAGGCAGAGTGCTCAGAGAAGCAGCTTCAGAAGAAACAGGATGTGAGCTTTGCCTTCCCTACACTGTAGGCAGCTGAGTTAAAAGTAGGAGCCCACACAATGGAGAGGGCCCATGGTCCTCTAGAGTGTGGTATCACAATTTGCCTGTTCAGTCGAAATCAGGTTTTGCCTTAAGTGTTTGCTCATGTTGTCTGGTTTTCCTGAAACCACATTTGCTTATAGAAGTGCAAAAATTTATGTTTGTTGCAGAGTGTTTTAGTACACAGTTTCTAACAGCATAGTTCCTCTTTTCCCCTCCTTCCTATTTCTTTCCTTCCCCCTTTGAGTTTCCACTTTGTAGTACTTGCATATTGCATTGTGTGGGTTTGTGGGCTACAATTCTTTTTTTCTTGTATGAAAAATTTTTATCTCCCTTGTGTGGTCCAAGTGATTCTGTGCTGTGGTTTCTCGTTCTCATGTGGTTTATCCTAGTGAGACCTGATTCTTCTTTCATACAATTATGCAATATGACAACTTATTGCCATGACTGGTCTTCACATACCACAGATCCTTAGAGAAGGAACGAGGTGTTCTTTCTGACAGAGGAAGGTCTTTTCTTGATATGGCTTCAGAAATCACTTACGCGGAAGTGAAGTTCAAGAATGAATCCAACTCCTCGCATAGCTACTCAGAATCTCCTTCAGGTAAAAACAAAACAAACCCCCTTTCTGTACTTCATGTAGACTGGAGGATAAATGAGGTCATTTGCAAAGGTGGGTGGTATTTGTGACCGATTCTTTGAATTCTCCCATCTGGTATTTTACTAGCATTTCAGCGGTTTAAACTGTTTGAACTATTTGTAGATTGACTTGAAGAGCTGTAGAGTTGTATATGGGAAGGAAAAGCTTTCTTGGCATGACTTTCGCTCTTGTCATTTACAGAAACTAAATCTTGAATCTTGCTGCATTTCCTGCTCTATATAAATAACCATAAGTGCAAATATTTTTCTGAAAATTAAATCATATTGTTTAATAGTGAGCTTTTTTTCCCCTCTATGCTTGACAGTATTTTGTAACTTCATGAAAACTGTTTTAGTGTTTGGAGATTTTTATCCTAAAGGTACTTGTTTTCATTTATCCTATAGATCAGAGCAAAACCTCTCACTTGATAGGCAGTTGTTCTGCCATCAAACTGCACCTTCATCCAGCAAAATTTCCAGCCATTTGATGGTGGCTAGCAGACTGACATCATGCTAAAGCATGAACTATGATTATAAGTATTTATCTTTTGTTGTGTATTTATCTTCAGTGTTTGTACAGTCTGGAAGTGATTTAAATATACAGTACGGCAACTACAGTAAAGAACACATGAAAATGCAGTGACATGAAAATATATTTAATATATATATATATATATATATATATTATATATATTTCTTTTAAGACTTGCTGAAAGGGCCACATGTGGTCTAATTCCAGCACTCAGGAGACAGAGGCAGAAGGATCACTGAGGACTTGAGGCCAGTCTTTCTACATAATGAGTTGTAGACCATCCAGGACTACAAAGAGAGATCCTATCTCATTAAATATCCTACCACCAAAAACCAACCAACCAACCAACCAACCAACCAACCAATTCCTTGAAAAGATACGAATATTTTTGAAATATATATTCACACACACACACACACACACATATATATACATATATATGTATATATATGTATATATATATATATACACACACATACACACACACACACATATATTCATAGTATTTTTTTAGACATCAAAATATTAATGCCAGCTATTTTAACAGTATAAGTTTGTGCTTTTTTATTATTTCAAATGTTCCTGCTATTAGTAATTATATGTCAAGGAGGAAAATGAAGAAGATGAGAGTCAAAAAGAAGAAACAAGGATGGAACTTATTTCTCATAAAATGATTGTGCTTCTCCTTTTAGCTCCCAGGAAGAAACGTATCCATCATCTAAGTAAGCCTGTTTCCCCCTCGCTGCCTTTTACATCCCTGATGGTACTTCTCCTGCTGCTGGCAATCACATTCTTAGTTGCTTTTATCAGTAAGTATTCCAGATGAATCAATAGGCCATCTCTGCCTTAGATGAAACTAGGTTCCACTGTAGCAGTTGGCATTTAATGGAAATATGAAGAAGTAATAATTTGGGGAAAAATAATTCAAGAAATTCCATTGTGACTTTTCTTAGTCCTTGAATTTAGCTGCTTTTTTGGGAGAAAATATGGAATCCATTCTCAGTAGAGAAACTAAGTCACATTTATGAGTGTCTGTCTGGGGTTTTAGAGTGAACTTTGTCGACTGTTGTCTTTATTAGACTGGGAGGTCAAATCTACATGTTCTTATTAACATTAAGATGTAAAGCTGTATGTATATAAGGCTCCTTCATCTAGTGTGAACTTGTGGACAAGAAAGAGCTAGGAAGAAATTATCTAAGAAGAGTTCTTCAGCTAATTCCTAGCTATTTCTGTCTTGGCCAGTATTATGAGAAATCTAAAAGCAACCTGAGCAAATGGGTGGATTTCTCTTCATCAACGATTTGAGAATGTATGAAAAACTTAAAAATACAAAAAGTAGTATATTTAGGATGTTTTACTCATTCATTTGCACACTCAGAGTAAAGTACTAGTAATAATATAGTAATAGCATACCTTAATGTTTGTCAGACAGAGTGTCAGACTATGTCCAGGAAGAACACAGACTCTGTTCTAAAGAAATTTAGAGGAAAGTCAATTAATCAATGTCAGATAAATACAATGGCACACTCCTGTTATCCCAGCTACTCAGGGTGTTAGATAGTAGGACACCAAGTGTGGAGCTAGCCTGGGCTATGTAAAAAAATAATATAAAAATGAACTAGTGTCTGCAACATTGTCCGAGAAATGTTGTGCTGAGATAGTTTTCCTAGAAGAGATGACACCTAGAACTGAGGGTACCAAGCATGTCACAGAGAGGTGTGTGGCCGAGGCACACACTGCTAAGTGAGGAAAAAGTGACGTTTCCCTAGGTAGACACAAGCAGGATGCAGAGCACATGTTGTGCACCCTTAGAAAAACAAGTTCTTTCTCCTAAAGAGTGTTTTTAAATCAAGTATTGTTTTCTGCTTAATATATCAGTATAAATGTAGTGAGTTAATATACATACTTATTCATCTTATGTTTCCAAGGATTGCCAATTTTGGCTGATCTCCACAGAGCAACTCCTCTGGTCCTAGCTGAATTTAGGCATGAATATGTGGTCAGTTACCAGTCCTGGCAACTCAGCCTCTGAGGAAGAGGCTGCCAGCTGGAATGACTAACAATGTGCCTCACCTTTATATGAGTCCTCAAGCCTGGGCTTGTTTAGATGGCAACTTGGAAATTTTCAAGACTGAAGGTTGCCATGAGCCAGGCGCTCAAAAATTTTAACTGGAGTGTCGATTAGAGCTCATTTTGCACGTTCTCTTGACTAACTCACACATGAGACTGTACTTTTTTTAAAAAAAAAATTGAACTGGGACAGTTGCAAAATCACATCGCAATGGTGTGTAAATACAGAAGTTAAAAATTGTGGTCATTTTGAAAACCATCATTTCCTTGGAGAACCATTGTACCATTTCAAATAAAAAATTCTTGTAGCCATATCTACCTTATAGATGGTGTTTTTTCGGAGCTCTGAAAAACTCTGAGTTATTAGGACAAAGAAATAAACAAGAGGGCTAATCTGTAACCTGATAATGAGATAAGTGTCTGGAGAACATGAGAGGAGGCAGCTTGGAGATGTAAAGAGAATAGGACCCAGGGAATAGATGCCTGATGAGGATAGAGATACAGGGAATAAGGGGTCCAAGAAGTAACATGTGACTTCAATATTCATATAACTAAAACTCACCAACCATGGAGTTGATCAAAGAGGTAGAGAATATATGATAAGTTATATGTTTAAGTTGGTAGACGTTGTCTTTAGTTTTCGGCATATTGAGCTGTCCCTAATATGCTTGTGTTTAGTGAGCAAAAAAATACCATAAAAATAGGCAGTAGATAAGACATGGCAATCACATGACAAGCAATTCATGATGTCACTCGGGAAGAATTTGTATGAGAAGAAAACATAATGATACAGCTGTAGGAAGTGTTGCATTTTGAAGGGGTACATACAGGGAGAAGAGATTGTAAAAGACTACAAGTTATAGCCAAAAGTTGAGGCAAAACCTGACAAAGCAATAGGTCAAGGGCTGAAGAGAAAGAACTGGGCTTAAGTCCAATGCCAAGAAGGCCAATGAGTACCCTGGGATGTCACTGAATACCCATTTCACAACTGGTGTTGGAGAAATGGAGGAAGAAATAGTGATGAAATAAGGAGACAAAGACATAGGAAGGAAAGTGAAGAAATTCAGATGTAGATGAAGAGGCCAGTCAGTTTGATTCGGAGTGAACAAGAGTGTTGCATATGGAGGAGCATCTCAGTTGAAAAGATGGGAGATTGAGGAAGAAAACAATGCCCTGTAGATACTAGTTTTTTTTTTCTTACTTCCCATTCTAAAATAACCTATAACTATTCAGAATTAGCAAACCTGCTTTCCTCCCAATAAGAAGGTAGTTCACATCCTTAAATATGAATATATATCTCTGCTTCATTTCCTTGAAGAATTGGCATTTTCCAGCAATAGGCCTGTCATACATATATAGTAACACCAAGTCTTGGGTCTCTGTAGAAAAACATTGAAACTGATGGCTATTAGCTATTGTAAACAGGCAGCTTTTGCAGAAATTTACCAGCCTGAGTAGTCATAGACCTTGTAAGTAGGTAGCCTTGGTGGATAATACCAACTTAGATAAAGACAAGTGAATCATAGGCAGAATCATAGTGACCTATCCCCTGAACTTTCACCCAACAGATACCCTGTTCTGAAAGATGTCTGTACTCCCCCTGAACACCCATGCTCCAGTGTCATCCCCTTCCCCATGTCCTACCTTTCTGTGCTTATAACCCCTGTGTGAATAAGTAAAAATTATGATTTGATTTAAAAAAATAAATAAAAAGAAAAAAAAAGAATTGGCAATTTCATTTTATGTTCAGCATTGAAGGATATGGCCCACTCCCTTTAGAGTCATGATTTGGACCCATCCTGTGTTTTATGTCACTCATGTTTCTGTGAATTCTGAAAGTATTTGTGGTTTCAAATTAGGAGGCTGAGGATTCCATTAACTATAGGATGATGGGAATTGTAGTCAGGCTCTGTCTACTTAGGTAATGTGGATGCTGTAGTTGTTTGTAGCAGTAAATAAAAAAATAGAAAGGCATTCTTCGATCATGAAAATGGTGGTTTTGGTTCTGTTTTTCTTCCAGTTTATTTTCAGAAATACTCTCAACTTCTTGAAGAAAAAAAATCTATAAAAGATATAACTCACAACAAATTGAACTGCAGAAAAAATGTTTCATCCATGGAAGGTAAGAATTAATGTACCTAAGTGTTTAGTTGCTCTTGTAGAGTATAATAGTTTGACATAAATTTTTGTTCTGTCTCTCTCTTTCACCTATTCTCTCATAAATTACATCCAAATCACCTTTCCACTCCACCCACTCCTCCCAGTCACTGCTCTCACCTCTCCTCTTCCTGAGATCCACACCTCCTCTGTTTTCCTCCAAAAAGGGGAGGCCTCTCAGCAATAACAATAGAACCTGGCATAAAAGGTTACAATAAGACTAGATACCAGACCTCATATCAAGGCTGTACAAAGTAATCCATGAGGAGAAAAATGATTCCAAGAGCAGGCAAAGTGTCACAGACAACCCATCTCTACTGTTAGGAGTTCCACAAGAACACCAAGATAGACAAACATATATGCAGAGGTCCTGGTGCATGTCTGTGTAGGCTCTGTGATTGTTGATTCAGTCTCTGTGAGCCCCTATGAACTTCGCATAGTTTATTCTATGGACCATGTTCTCCTGGTGTCCTTGACCACTCTGGATCCTACAATCCTTCCTCACCCTCTTCTATATTCCCCAAGCTCTGTGTAATGTTTTGGCTGTGTGTCTTTGCATCTGTTTTCATCAGTTGCTGGACGAAGGCTTTCTGATGACAGTTGGACAAGGCAAAGATCTGTGAGTATAGCAGAAAATCATTAGGAATCATTTCATCGACTTTTTTCCAGTTGTGTTTTCTTCTATCCTAGGTGTCTGGGCTATTCAGTCTTAGTTCCTGGCCATCCAGGCAGTGTGGGACATGGGCTCCCTCTTGTGGCTTGGGCCTCAAGTTGGACCAGCCATTGGTTGGCTACTTCCACAAGTTCTGTGCCCCATGAGCACAACATGCAGGCAGAACAAATTGTAGATCAAATATTTTGTGGCTCGGTTGAGGTTCCAGTCTTGCTGCTGGGAGGCTTGTGTGGTTACAGAAGGTGGTCAGTTCATGCTCTGTGTCATCCATTACTAGGAATCTTATTTAGGGTCCTTATATATTACAGGGAATTTCCACTGCACTAAGTTTTCACATAACTGTCCCAAAGCCCACAATTCCAATCATCTTTTCTGGTACTCATTCCCACCATCAAACTTCATTTTTTTCTGCTCCAATCTGCACCTGCCCTTAGTCTATCCCACAAGATCTATTATATTTCCCTTTCCCAAGGAGATGCATGTGTTATCCCTTGATATATAGTCTTTCTGGGTTTGTGGATTGTAGTAAAATTATATTTTAATTAATAGCTAATATCCAGTTAAAAGTGAGTACATACTATGTTTGACTTTCTGAATCTGGGTTACCTTACTCAGGATGATTGTTTTTCTAGTTCCATCTATCTGACAAATTTCATGATGTCATTTTAAAATAGCTACACAACACTCTATTGTGTTAATGGACCACATTTAAAAAAATTCGTTCTTCACTGAGGAACATCTTGGTGGTTTTCAGTTTCTGGCTATTACAAATAAAGCCATTATGACCATAGTTCAGCAAGTTTCCTTGTAATAGGATAGAACATTGTTGGGTATGTGCCCAAGACTGGTATTTGCAGGTCTTGAGGTACATTGATTCACTTTTCTGAATAACGATCATATTGATTTCCATAGAGGTTCTCCAAGTATGCACTCTCACCAGCAGTGGAGAAGTGTTCCCCTTGCTCTATATCCTCATCAACTTGAGCAGTCACTTGAGTTTTTGATCTTATGTTTTCTAATGGGTGTAAGATGGAATCTTTTTTTTTTTCCCTTCCCTTTTCCTAGTCGCTCCAGACCTGCTCTCTCTGGGCCTGTGAGCAGCCTTGCTTGCCCCAGCCCAAAGATTGATTTATTTATTTATTTATTTATTTATTTATTTATTTATTTAATGTAAGAACACTGTAGCTGTCTTCAGACATCCCATAAGAGGGCATCAGGTATCATTACAGATGGTTGTCAGCCACCATGTGGTTGCTAGGATTTGAAGTCCGGAACTCCAGCTGAGCAGACAGTGCTCTTAACTGCTGAGCCATCTTACCAGCCATAATATGGAATCTTAATATAGTTTTAACTTGCATTTTCCTGATGAGTAAGTATGTTAAACACTTCTCTAAAGGTTTCTCAGCCATGAGAGTCCTCTATTAGGAAATCTCTGTTTTAGATCAGATTTTTTTGGTTTGTTGATGTCTAGCTTCTTGAGTTCTTTATGTATATTGGATATATTGTCTCTTTGTTGCATGTGGAATTAGTTAAAATCCTTTTCTGTTCTGTAGGCTACCATTTTGTCCTATTGACAGTGTCCTTTATCTTACAGAAGACACTTTTACTTTTCATGAGGTCCTGTTTAATAACTGTTGATCTAAGTGCCTAAAGTATCAGTGCTCTGTCTCCTGTGTCAATTTGCTCAAGGCTATTCCCTATTTCTTCTTTTATAAGGTTCAGTGTGTCTGGTTTAATGTCAAGGTGTTTAATCTACATGAACTTGAGTTATGTTCAGGGTTATAGATACAAATCTATTTTCGTTATTCTACATGCAGTCATCCAGTTAGACCAGCACCATTTGTTGAAGATTTTTCTTTTCATTATCGTGCAATTCTGGATTTTTTCCCCAAAAATCTGGTGTCCATAAGTGTGTGGATTTACTCCTGAGCCTTTCATTAATTAAACTGATCAGTGTCTCTGTTTTTATGCCAATACCATGAGGGTTTTACTACTATAGCTCTGTAGTACACCTTGAAATCATGGATGGCACTACCTCACTAAATTGTTATACTGTTCAGAACTTTTTTTTTAACCTATACTGGATTTTATGTTTTTTCTTTTCATGTGAAGTTGACAATTGTCCTTTCAAGGTTTGTAAAGAAAATTGTGTTGGAATATTGATGAGAATTGCATTGGATCTGTAGATTGATTTTGGTAAAATGGCCATTCTTACTATTTTTATTCTACTGATCTTGATTTCTGTGGAATTGATTTGAGTTTATTTCCATTTACTTTGATGTTGGCTATAAGCTTGTTGTAAATTGCCTTTGTTATATTTAGGTATGCCTTTTACATACCTAATCTCTCCAAAACTTCTATTATTAAGTAGTGTTGGATTTTTGTCAAAGGTATAGTCTACATTTAATGAGATTTTTTTCCTTTCAGTTTATTTGTAAGATGGATTACATTTATTTATTTTCATATATTGAGCCATCCCTGCATCTCCAGGATAAATCCTACTTGATCATGGTAGATGATATTTTTGATGTGTTCTTGGAATCAGTTTGGCAGTATTTTATTGAATATCATTTCATGAATGTTAGTGAGGGAAATTGGTTTGGAATTCTTATTCTTTGTCAAATCTTCATGTGATTTGTGTATCGGGGTGATTGTAGCCTCATAATGTGAATTTGGCAGTGGTTTCTTCTGTTTCTATTTTATGATATAATTTGAGGAGTATTGTTGTTAACTCTTCTTTGAAAGTCTGGTAGAATTCTGTTCTAAAACCATCTAGCCCTTGGCTTTTTTGATTGGGAGAATTTTAATAACTGTTTCTGTTTCCTTAGGATTTATAGATATATTTAAATTATTCTTCTATCTTGTTAATTTTTGTAAGCATTATCTATTGTGAAAATTATCCATTTCTTTCAGATTTTGTAATTTTGTGAAATATAGGTTTGTAAAGCTTGACCTAATGATTCTTTGGATATCCTTGGTGTATCATGTACATTCTTGTTGTACTCTTTTCATTTCTAATTTTGTAAATTTGGAAATTCTCTGTTTTTCTTTTAGTTGTGTTGGATAAGGGTTTGTCTATCTTGTTGATATTCTCAAAGAACCAACTCTTTGTTTCATTGATTCTTTGTATTGTTCTCCTTGTTTCCAGTTTGTTGATTTCAGCTCTCAGTTTTATTATTTCCTGCCATCACCTCCTCTTCTGTGCTTGTGCTTGTTCTTCTCCTTCTCCTTCCTTCTCCTTCTCCTTCCTTCTCCTTTTCTCCTTCTCCTTCTCCTTCTCCTTCTCCTTCTCCTTCTCCTTCTCCTTCTCCTTCTCCTTCTCCTCCTCCTCCTCCTCCTCCTCCTCCTCCTCCTCCTC